GATAATGACATTCTGAGAGTCAGAAGGTATTGCAATGTCAATTCTGGTAAGAATATTATATTTAGCAAGATTTGCCTGTGTTGTAGATGTAATATAATATGGGATAGAGACCATATCAGTATAGTTCTTAGATATGAAGAATAGTGAGTTTGAGGTTCCCTTTCAAGAAGTGAAAAAATATTTCAGATGTTTCGCTATTCTGAGGATTCATCCGTCACTATTTTTTGAGCCCAGTATTTATGATATAAAAAACCAAATGGTTTTTTAAATAAAGCGAACTGGATTAAACCATATAAACCCCTTTTTCTGTCTCTAAATATATCCTCGTTTGTTCTTCAGACCTTCAGAGTTACTGATCTATGAGAATCGCCGCTATCTTTAGAATTCAACTGCCCCATAATGATACTCGACAGACAGGTCATTTGCGGCTGCCAATTTTGGTCGAGAGCCCAGACGAAAAATTTTTGATATAGGTAGAGCAAATTTCTCATTTTAGAAAGGCTTGAGAAAAGCTATTCGAAATTTACTATCATGCGATAGTATCGAATAAATTTCGTTCCAAGCTAGGATTTGTGACAAAAGAATGAGCAACGCCAACAAGGTAAAATAATAACCCGTTATACGACAAAAAAAAACAGAAACAATAATTATTATTATAATAAAGGTCTAAGAAGAGAAAAAATAAACAAACAGACTACCAAACACTTGACTGCGACTCGAGTTAATAACAGCCCAACCATGATCACCCAACCGCCAACCATCTCCTCGTTATTTGGAATGATTCAGCAGTCTCACAGGTCAGTCCTTTGGTAGATGAGATATCTGGCCACATTATCAATTTAAACAATATTTAGACGTGGGTTGAGAGCTTTTTGCGAAATTGAGGCCAATTATCGCATTTTTTTTTTAGTATGTGACCATATAATCGTTATGGTGATTGGCCAAAAAGGAATTTAGGTAACTGTAACTAGCGTCACCTTCTCGTAGTATCACGGGAGAACATTCTTGGAAATAGCTTTAGGTAATTGGAATATTTTTTGTTATTATAGCTGCCTCATCTAGAAATGCCCTTGCATTATAAATAAGCCTAATGTGTTGTTAATAGGTAGTTTATTATGAGGCCATCCTAAAAGATAGAAATAAAATATATAGATAGAAGCAAGATAAGTAGTTATTGACTAGCACAAAAGCCTATGAAACGATTTGAAAATCTAGTATAATAATATCACGACACAACACGGTGGTGTTTAACGTTTAACGCAGACGTAAAATTAGGGCCAATTGCCATGCACCTAGCTTTCTACATTACATCCGACCGTCACCATTGAAATTGTGTTCGTTTAGTGAAACGTGACCCGGACGAATTTCAGCAAAGTTTCAATGGAACGTTAGAGCCTCAAAGAGTCGAATGCAAATCAGAGATGGGCTCTAAAATTTAAACCGTTTCCATTGGATGAAATTCTTAGGCATAATTATCATTATCTGATTCTAGGTGGCAGCAAAAACACCTTCGAAAACATATAATTACTAAATCCCCAGCATTGTTAACGAAGAATACGGACGTATAACATATTTATCAATATACAGATTGTATCGGGTTTCGTTATAGGAAGACTGGAAGCCCGACCGTCATCATCCATTTTTGACAACAAAGCAGCCTGTCTCAAGTGGATCGGACGCCATCTAACAATAATAGATGGGCGATATTACATGGTTTTTAGTGCGGTTTTTAGATACATTATCTTTCTTGTTATTTGTAATGGGTGTTTGGTGTAACCGTCTTAGGTTTAGACCCATTAAATTCCAATGTTTGAGATTATACCTACCTACCTACTGAGAGGGTATTTTAGACAATTTTAGTAGTTGAATAATAAATTAGACTTTATCCACAAGATAAATGAGAGCCTAATTTTTTTGGATATAATTGCAGTAGGTACCTATTCAATAAAGTTTACTGTTTAGGATTTGTTTGTATTATTTGATTTTTTTCTACTTGTTTCTAGGTACATCGCTGAAATGGTACCTATAATTTAAGAAAAATGACATGAATTTTCTCCCTAAAAACAGCTTTAAGCTAAGGCCTTAGGAAAATTTTGAGTAGTAGGTGGAATATTCGGCAAAATGCAATCTATCGGTTGAAAGATGTTCGTGTTCGTCCCCATTTTTCCTGAGAAGTAGTGTTAAATAATCTGCCTTATAAGACGAAAGACTTCGAGGTAGAACACTTAGGCCAGTGCAAATAATTTTGAATTTGCAAAAATTTTTATAAAGCTGCAACTATCAAAAATAGTTAGCGTTAGTACTCCTAGTAAACATACCAAAAGTCCCCATTCGTCCGGTTGTTGCGTCATTAGAAAAAATTATCCGCCATCTTGAATTTTGGCACTTTTCGGAAAAAATCGTTAATAAGTCAAAAACGGTACATTCTATCGAAAAAACTCAAGAGAGGAAAATTGAATAGAATGAAAAAATGAAGGAGATATCATAAAAACTGAATGCGTACCATAACGTAGTAACAATCTACAATTTTTTGAATTTTTGGAAATTTAGCAAAATCAAGGGAACCAGACCATAATGCAGTTAATGCATTTTTTCAATCCCAATAAACAAATAAAATTACCTTTTAACATTTATTTAAATAAAAAAACACTGTAAAAGTGTTACCTATATATTAATTTAATTCAACTACCCTCGTATGAACTAATAATGAGTAATCGCAGATTCAATACAATAATACTATTCAACGCAAAAAAATTGACAAGGTCAATTTTACAATGTTTTGGCCAAAAGACAGGATAGGTAATAAGCAAATTTAAATTGACAATTTAATTCATACACAAAAAATTCCATAAGGACTGGTGTTTTTGTCATGATTACAGCGACTATTTCACTAGAGTGTATTACACCGGTTATACAACTCATTGTACATTATTCCCATATGATACGAGAGGCTTAAGAAGTGATAAGCCTTTTGAGATTATCGCACTTGGTGGCAATATTGTTCATTTACTATTGATAATAATGAACATTAATAAAGTATCAAAGTTTAGTTCGTTGTATAACTTTTTGAATACCACTCGAAGTTTCAGGATTACCTAATACTTTTACCCGACACTCAACGTATTACCAGCAACACCACTCCTCCTTCGGAGTCGTGGTGTTGTTGCGTAACGCGTTTCGTGACAGGTAAAAGTATTATCCGGTAATCCTGAAACCCCTTGTGGTATCACATTCGACAATAAATTCGGTGTTCACCTGACAATATTGCTACCTGGACAATACCAACAACATGGTATTTCATAAACCATTTTTTGACATTGTCAAACTGATATTTTTAATTTGAATTTTTTATTAAAATTTTTGCATTCTATTTATTTTCAAAATCTTACGTGAAATAGTCATGACGAATACCACTCGAGAAAAAAATTGTGTAGGCAAAATTGTTCTCAAGGTTTTATTCAAGTTTGTTGCTTTTCTGCAACTTCGCTCGTGACATTTTTGATAAAATCACTCGCCTGACGGCTCGTGATTTTGTCAAAAATGTCATTTGCGAAATTGCCAAGCATTAAACTTTCATACCTTTCGAAAATTTTGCCGACAAATTTTTTTTTCTTGTGATATTATATATGAACTAACTTTTCCAGCGACAAAATTGAACCTAGCTTGACATGACCAGCAAAATTTGTCATTTACGTAGGTATCCATTAAATTGTCTTACCGAATTACACTCAAGCTTTTTTTTTGCCGAAAAGGAAACTTTACTCTATAATTCGAGTTTTGTTGTATTTAGGCAATTTAACTCAAATTGTCAGGCAACAAAATTCTCATTGAAATATCAAGTTTACTTTGACAAAAAAAGGCTCTAGTGTAATTAATTATAAGTGACAATTGACTTTCTAATGCCAAATAACATCATGAGAGTGAACCAAGGCCTTTCTGTTACCATTCAACAGTGACTACAATCTAAAACTGGGATACGATTTATTCCATCTTATTCGAATTGCTCTTCATCTACGGAAATTTGTTTGTTGTCACAAGAAATGCCATTACAATTACCACATAGGATTGAATACGGAATATTCGACTTTATACATGTGCATAATTTGTTACATCCTGACTTGCAGTTGCAATATATCATATTCAGAACAAAATCAGGTGCCACTGACTTTGACATAGTTTTTGGAACCCACATGTCTTTTTTTTCATACCAACCCCAATGTGTTGGTTCTTTTTTATTATTAAGCCAATATTGAATTTGTAAGTAAGTCCTATAGTAATGATTCTCATCAGCTCCGTCTGAAGTTGGAGGCAAAGTAGCTAACTCAAAATTCTTGCTAAGAACTTGACGAGATGTAAGGGTTTTGTATTTATAATATCTCAACTGATCTAAATCATCAATCATCAAACATTTTGTTTTGTTTTGCGATTTTCGCGCCTTAAATAATTAAATTATCAAAACCGAATAATTAACAGAATTGAAAATTCATAAGTTGATAGATCGCTATGATACAAAATTACTTCTCATTGTATCTTATAGATTTTTTAATTCTCTTCAATTTTCATGTCTTCATTTTTTTCAAAAAAATGTACCGTTTTCGAGTTATTCGCGGTTTTTCCCAAACAGTGCTGAAATTCAAGATGGCGGACGACTTTTTTTGGTGACGCAACAGTCGGAGGCATGGGGACTTTCAGTATGTTAATAAGGGGTACTAGGGCTACTTATTTTTGATAGTCGCAGCTTTATAAAAAATTTTGCATTTTCAACATTGTGAATTTCATAACTGCACTGGCCTAACTACTGACTACTGGAATCAATAGGAGATCGGTACTTCTGAATCAACTACAGTAGAATGTTGAAGAGTGCGATCCCTATCCTAAGAAAGGACCTAAAACGCGATCTCGTAAAGAAGTGATAAAGTTTTAGTTTTAGTTTTCTGGTTCATGTTTGCTCGCAAGAAATGAGTAAATATTGACAAAAACCATTCATTTGACAAATGTCAATTTAATCAGATTGGGCTTCAAAATCGTGAATCCACAAAGAAACGAATGGCGACATCTCGAGTAACTAAAAGGCCCGATTTCGTCTTAGTAGTAAAAGAGAAAAACTTACCCTTTCTCGAACAATATTTCAACAACCTTAGAGCGTTAGGTCTTGATTTTGCCAATGAACCCGGACAGGTAAGCGAAAGGATTTGCTAATAAGCCAACATAGAGCAGTTCAATCATCGTTATCTAGACAGTTGACCTCATCTTTATCAAAGTATTTATTTCGAAAGAAGCCCTAGCTCATTTTTCTGAACTGTATGAAATTGGACGTGGAGAATCTCGAGTTACGACTGTGTTTTACACTGAAGTAATATTCCGCCATATTTTCCCAACTCCTTTATCGGACATGCCTCTAGACAATAGCTTGTAAGTTGGATATTTTCTTTTTGGCGTCCTCACAATAATTCATTTATTGAAACTAATTTTTGAAATCATGTAGCTTTTAATGGTTGAGAGTTTCACTTAGATACTGGATACGAATGATGCTTAAAATTGCATCTAATAAGATTTTCAGTGTGGATAATGTTACGGAACTTCCGGTCGAATATTTTTTTTTTATTAACCCGGAATTTCCGAATTATTATTTTATTATTATTCGTCCGGAAAATAATAGATACACCATGTACCCCTGCAATGACACAATCATTCTATGGTACCGTAGCGAGGAGGGTCAAATTAACTTTTTGACGTATTTTTTGCATCTCTATCCGATAGAATTTTTTTTTTTTTTGGAATTCGATATTTGAATTTTTTCGACAAAAAAAATTCAAAGGGTATACCTTCGATTTTTTTTTTTCAATTTTCAAACCGTCCTAACTCGAAAACGAAAAGCTTGGGAGAAAAACTTCAAATTCAAAACTTATAGATCTCGTCGAGTACTACAAAAAAGCCTATGAGAAGTATCCCTCCAAAGGGCACTGTTTTCGAGAAAATCGACCTCGAAAATTTTAACAAAATTACAAGAAATTTCAACTTTGACGGCCAATATCTCAAAGACAAAAACGATCTGGAATCTCAATAAAAAATATTTTGTAGATAATTTCATCCTCTTTCAAGTGAGATATGACTCGAAACGATCGGTTAAGAAATAGCGGAGTTATAGGCGAAAAAGTGGTCTCGTGTCGGATACCCACAATTTTTTTCTGATCAAAATCGAAATTTCCTTTTTTATTTTTTTTCGGCCTTAAGATGTACCGTAGCGAGGAGGGTCAAATTTACTTTTTGACGTATTTTTTGCTCCTCTATCCGATAGAATTTTTTATTTTTTTGAAATTCGATATTTGAATTTTTTCGACAATGCAAGGACTAGTACGCATTACGTGGACGGGTTAGTTTGCATATTTTTGGTTAGGTTCATTACAGTTCATTTAATACTGGATATAAGTGTACTGGACTACTGGTAAACTGGTACACAAGTAAAAAAACAATCCGGACGAATAATAATATGATAAGAATCCGGAAATTCCGGGATAATAAAAAAAAAATCAACCGGAAGATCCGGGTGATTAGGGACACCCTAAGATTTTTAGTTTTAGAAAGCAAGCTTATTAGATTAGAGAATGTGCGATGGTTGCATTCAGTCGAATGGCCGAATTTGACAACAACCCCAGATAGGTACATTTTTTTTATCTTTGTTTGTTTTAAGTATTTGATCCTCTTCGAAAAGGATTAATTTTTCTTTAGATGGATTAGTGTGAGAACACCGAACAGAGATATCTCTTTTCCAGTGTTAATGACATTAAATTTCAAATTCTCTTCAAGAGAACGAACAGAAGCTGACAACATAATGATCGTCGACAAGGTTTTACAAAATGCAAGATACGGATCAAAAGATACAGAGTTTGGTTTATCCAACTTAATTTCAATGGGAATTGTAGAAACTGGATATCCATTACATGATGGCTCAATAGAACAAGATGGAATGAATATTAGATCTGTAGGTTAATAATAGGCCCACAGGCATAGGCATTCACCGACTGCTTCTTTCTTTCAGAAGCTTTATCGCCACTGGTCGAATCTAAGGGTGACTCACATGGAACAACCGCTGGATTTAATTTTCCGTTATTTCGGAAACGAAGTAGCATTTTATTTTGCATGGTTCGACTATTTCAACATTATGCTTGTACTTCCATCGATTCTTGGTGCTCTTGTAGTTTTAGCTGGTCTAATATATGTGGCTCTTGCTAACCCGGCAGAAGTGTAAGTAATATTTTTTTAGGTGTGGAAATCAGAACTTTATAATATGGACTATTCTTTTTCATTGTGTCTAGCCAAAGTTTCTAAGACCAAGGGCTTAGCTACTTAATTGATCCATAAAGAGAATTCGAAACTGGCTAAATTTAAAGGAATCATCAAGTAATGTCCAAAAAAGCTCGCGATTTCTATCTCCACTATAAATTATCACTAAATGTCAACTATTTTATTGTGAAAAGGTTTTTGGTCAAAAATAGATGAATACTTACGTTTACTTGATGTGTTTCTGATTTTTGGTAGGAGAGAAATCTGCGAAACTTCTGAAGTGTTATGCCCCGTTTGCGAAGGATGGCCTGGTTGTCGTTACAAAGAGATTCAAAAATTCTGCGCTCTGGCACATTGGTCTTATGTTTTCGACAATAATTTTACTATAGCGTTTGCTGTTTTTATGACATTCTGGTGTGAGTAATTGTAGTATTTTACTTTTTGGAAGAAATTGCATGAAAAACTCAATTAATTAATCGAAAGTTTTTGATGTTTAGGTACCTTATTCATTACATTATGGAGGCGGAAGGAGAACACGTTGATGATGAGATGGAATTGTGAAAACGTTGTAGAAGAAACCCAGATAAGGTAATTTAAAGCCAATAAAAGAATGGATCCGAAGATATTACATTTGCTTCTAGGCAAGCTTACTTGGCCAGTACGACTCACCAACGACCGAATGGCATAACCGGAGAAATGGAACCGTATGTTCCGAAAATCTGCATTGTACTCAAATATTCAGTTACTATTGCAGCTTGTACAATTCTAGTACCGCATTAATTTTTTTTTTAAACAAGTATCTACATATTTTATTTTTAGCTCGCAATAATTTTATTGGCAGTAATAATAGTAATGGTTTTGAAAATATTATTTACTGAAATGTGCCAAGCTTCAGAAAATCTATACTTAAGGTCCCATAGTAGGTTGTTGACAATGATTTTAGGTTCAGCAGTGCAAGTTACTGTTATTAAGATTTTCCAACTGGTAAGGACTATTGCATACGCGTTTTGCTTTCACTTCCACATTCCACTGAGTTTTCAGCTTTACAGGCCAGCATCGATCAGATTGACCGAATTCGAAAATCCGAGGACTCAAGTTGATTTCGATAATTCCGTTTTGTACAAAAAATATTTATTGAGCTTCATGAATAATTATATTCCAGTGATATACCTGGCATTTGTCAAGGTTTTGATTTTAGTTTTGGAAAATATCAATTACTTAACCTGTTATTTGCAGGGAAAAGTTACAACTTTACCACATCATATGAATTTTCTGACCAAAGATAGTTGTCAGCCTATTAATTGTGTGGTATCTCTGTGCATTCAATTGACGTTTATTATGACCGTAAAAACTTTTTTGGGAAATGTTTTTAATGTGGTTTTTACGTAAGTAAACCTATAAGGGCCGGTTTCTCAATAGCAATTCACCCGCGCGTTAAGCATAACTTCAGGGTAAACATTGCAACTATGGACACGTATACTCTGGAGTTGACTCGCTATTGAGAAACCGACCCTAGAATATATTCTTTTATTGATTCCCAAATTTTTAACTTTTTTCAGAAAAGCTAAACTATGTTTGAGATTCTTTTCAAAGAGGTATGCAAAAAGACATGATAGGTATCACCCTTCAAGAGAAGATTTACCGCAATGGGAAAAAGAATATTATTTGGAACCACTGACCAGATATTTTGTGTTATCAGAATTTTCGGAAATGGGTATAAAATATCACGATATATATTGGGTTGGTTTTCTTTGCTTTCCGAGTCACACTGATGAGATCTAATAAGATCGAAACGCGTATCTGGATGGAAAAGGGAGGAAAATTAACCCACATTTTTATAAAATATTACTTGCCTTTGTAAAACATATATTTCTTGATTTCGAGCTCCCGTATGCGACAAATTTACTAAATACTAAAATTTACTCTTAAGTTTAGACCGCTTGAGTAACTATTACGAACGTCCAAGTAGTAAAATACAATTTGTGGCATACAGATTTATTTATTTATTTCCTGTGACAGTTCGATAAACTTCACAAACCCAACAAAACTATTCCAAACGTGCATAGATGAAAGATGAAGTATAGAATATACAACATCATCGTCAAAAGCGAATAATATAGTTACATGGCGCAGAGGTCTGGTCACTAATGCTAATAACCAAAAAGGGTTACTTGTAGATTATAAATTGTGATGTTTAGATTATGGACCTCTCCGTACTGCAAACTAATTAGATCTATTGTGCTTCCCCTTATATCTAGTGGGTTGCCAGATTAAGGCTTTTGGTAAAGCTTGTTCCTAGGACTGGCTTCTTTCACATCCACAGCCGTTAAGTCGGGCTGCTCCAGATGGATGAGTCGTCTGCGGCACAATGCCTCACAGTTGCAAAGTATGTGTTCCGCAGACTCAGAGGCTTCTTCACAGAAGCGGCATAGGTCTGATTCAGTTTTGCCCATCTTTTTCAGGTGGTAACCAAGCAGACAGTGACCCGTAAGGAGGCCTTTAAGCAGCCTTAGATCCGCTTTACTGGTCAATCATTTCCTTTGCCTTTATTGACTGAGGCGAGATGAATTGTTTCGCCTGTCTAAGTTTTGGATGCGTATTCCAGCGGAAGGCTTGTTGAGCCTTTACCCAATTCTGGACTTCTGGTCCAGGAAATGGTGTTGCAGCTCCTTGTCTTGCAAGGTAGTCTGCTATCTCATTCTCTTCCATTCCTTGGTGCCCTGGTACCCATAACAGGGTGACTATTGTGAGACGCCAGTTGCTTTAGAAGTTGTTGGCAGTTCCATACCAGTTGGATTAACGAGATTCCCACTGTCCCTACTCACATTTTCGATGGCGCGGTTCGCTGGTGCAATTTTGTTAACTCCACCGAACTATCGTGCCTATAGCATCTCACGATAGGGGGAGGAGGGAGGAACTCTCGAACGATCCCAGAACTCTGGGCAAAGTTCCTGAGCCTCTTTTCAGAAAGATGGTAGCGGTACTGTACGTCTTCCGCGGAAAAGCAGGGAACTCTACGGACGATTCCAGGTTTCTGGCCGAAAGTCCGATGAGCCCAGCTTCGGCAGTACCAACGGTGAGCGTGCTTTACTTCGAACCGCAACTCGTCCGGTTCAAACGAGGACCCGGGCACGGCCGGGGGGTTAAAGGTACAACCTGAGTAATACCCATTGTCTCACTAGTTGGCATGGGCGAAGGACCCATAATGTCTCCCTTTTCCGAGATTTCTGGGCAACGGATGACTGGGGTGTTGCGAAGTAGGGGAAGACCCCGAACCCGCACCTTGTCTGGGAAGAGGAACTAACATAGTAAGCCCTCTTAATACAAGAAACTACGGGCCAAGGAGACCACCTTCCGGTTCCGGTAAAAATATATGCCTCTGTTGCTGATTCCACGCTCTTGTGGTAAAAGGCAACAAGTATGTATTAACCCACAGGTGGGTAGCATTTTCACGAAAGTGTATGCGAATCGGTGACTCGTCCAATGTTGCTGGGGTAACCCTGCTAACACGAGTACCCAGGGGAAAGGCCAGCCCAGCCAGGGTCCAAAAACCTGGTGCCTTTCATAGGTGTTGGTCTCTGGGGGGCAGTTCATTAATCGTCTGATAGATTTTTCCGGGTGGGCTACTCTGGACGTGCGATAGACCCTCGGGTGAAAATATGCATAAACATCTCAGTCCTATACCAGTCTGATGGACTTACTCACAGAGCTACTAGGCTCTTAGTGCTGCCCGACTGTCGGAATTCATATAGATCTTCGCTCTTTGCAGGTTTTTTTCGTGACACTATCTAGCGCAAAGTTCTATTGCGAATATTTCCGCTCGAAATATGGTCGGGCTTTCTCCTAAAGCTGTTGATAGTCTACAAAGTGGGCCGTATACCCCTGCTCCAGCACCTTGCTCTGTTTTCGATCCGTCTGTATACCAGACAGATGACCCGTTCAAGATTATACTTACGATTCTCTCTTTTACGACCTTGAATAGTCACTTTGAAGGTGTGTTCAAATCCGTACCCGTGTTGCATGTGGTCAACTGGCTTTGCCTTCACATTTTAGTCCAGCGAAAATAGGTTTCGATCTTGCATTAAATGAAAGAGGTTCCCATTATTTCAGTAATGTGTGCCCTAAACAACGTCTAATAAAGTCCCGTTGATTTCATGTGCCATGGAGGGTGAGGGAGGCGACCCAAAGGTCTTTTTTTTTCAGTTTTTGGCTATTATCTCGAGAATGGTGTGTCCCACAGAAAAGTTTATACCTTGTGAAATTAAAGCTCATGAAATTTCCTTCTAAATGATGGATTTGTTTTTACACCTAAGTGTTACCGTTTTCCAGATATGAGCCGCTGAATATGGAAATTTGTCAAAAAAAGTAGGTAGCGGTTAAGGTCTCTCGTAAATATTCCTTTTGTAACTTTTTTTCTTGATATTACAGTAAGAAAAAAAGTTGTAGGTAGTTCAAAAAATTTTTTTTTCAAAAGCGTGTAGATATAATTTTATTTACGACTGACATATAATGTAAGTATTATATTTGTGATTTTGGCAATATAATGCCATATATTATTCCCGCAGGGAATAATGACGAAGGATTAATGGTCATTAATCCCGGTTGCACACCAATCAGAAAATTTTTTTAATTAAAAAATACCATGGAAACTTCTATGATGCAAACAAAACAAACTCAAAAGTGACAAGTGTCAAACGTATAGTGCTTAAGTGCTTGTGTTTTATATTCATATCGTCGAGATGGACGAAAATGAAGATTCTATTACTTGTACACCTCCAGAAATTTTAAAAATAGCTGCAGTAACAACATCGAATCTAATACCGGAATCATCGAAATTTATTTACGAGAAAACGTACAGCCAGCATCAACGAATGGCGTTTTCGAAACAAGGCAAACGCGTTTTCCGAAAATGTTTTGCTGGCGTATTTTGCGGAATTAATTTCAAAATATAAACCATCGTCATTATGGTCATTTTATTCGATGATAAAATCCATGTTGAAAATAAACCATGACATTGAGCTGGAAAAATATGGCAAATTACGAGCATTTTTGAAAAGAAAATCGGAAGGATTTCAAGCAAAGAAGTCTTCCACTCTGACCCCGGAACAAATTAGGAAATTTATTGACAAAGCTAATAATCATAATCTGACCTATTCTTATTTGCTTCAGATTATATTAATTATTGGAATTATGGGCGCATGCCGCTCAAACGAGCTCTATGAAATGAATGTAAAAGACGTGAAGGATTTCCAAACAGAGTTATTAATAACCATACCCAAAACTAAAACCAAAATTGTACGGAAATTCACCATAAACAGTACGTTTTACAATCTTGTAAAGAAGTACATCGATCTCCGTCCGGCACATGTGAAAATTAATTCATTCTTTCTAAATTATCAAAAATCCAAATGCACAGTACAGGGTGATCTATTATAAATGTCACCCCCTTCTAACTTTTTCATTTGACATTTTTGACAAAAGTGTCAAATACAAAAGTTTCAATAAATTGTCGAATGTTTTTAACTAAGTTGATTTTAGGCATACAGGGTGCGTCAAAAAAGTGCAGCATTGTGAAGTTATATTTTTTTAAATAGAACACCCTATATTTTGTGCACTTATTTGTTAGTCCCTTTTAACCTGATTTCATCGATATATGGTTTGATATGTCTATGTTCAATAGCTATAGGGAAAAACTTGAAAACCCCTTTCAAGGTTTCACATTGAAAAAAGAAAAATTATACCATTTAGGCTTTAGAGAATTTTTTTTATAAACAGTTTATTGTTCAAATTTTATTTATTGATATACAAGGTGAAATATTATAATAAATCCAGATGTCTAAGTTATTATTAGTATTTTCAAAAAAAATACATGAGACATATAGGAAGGCATTTTCGCGTTTTTTCCCTATTACTATTGGAGATAAACCGAGAGATAAACATATCAAACCATATATCGTTGAAATCAGGTTAAACGGGTCTAACAAATAAGCGCACAATATAGAGGGTGATCTATTTTAAAAAAATATAACTTTACACTGCTGTACCTTTTTGAGGCACCCCGTATGCCTAAAACTGACGTAGTTAAAATCTTTTGACAATTTCTTAAAACTTTTGTATTTGACACTTCTGTCAAAAACGTCAAATGAAAAAGTTATCAGGGGGTGACATTTATAATAGATCACCCTGTACAACGTGTAGGAAAAAACAAATTTGCAGACATTGGTAGACAAATTGCCAAATATTTAAACTTGCCAAATCCTGAAAGTTATACCGGCCATTGTTATCGCAAATCATCTGCCACTCTATATATTGATGGAGGAGGCAATATAACTGGGTTAAAGCGTCATGGGGGCTGGAGATCTACACAAGTAGCTGAAGGATACATTGATCAGTCCATGAGAAACAAAACAACTACAGCAGATACTATTGCTAAGCAGATAAATAGTAATGGAGCACCTTCTTCCTTTACTTACAGCAACCAAAATTCCAAATGCATCTTCTCCAAATATTTGTATCGAAAACACTTCCAAAATTGATGATAATTCACCACCACTTCAGTTTATTAATTGTACTATTACTAATTTTAATGTTATGAATAAATAAAGTAGTTCTTCAATAAAAATCTCAAATATATTAATTTGTCGTAAATAAAGTAGAGTATACTACTCGCAATAATGGCTATTATTCCCTCGGAATGTTACTCCCTCGCCGCTAACGCGGCTCAGTTCGTAAATATTCCTCGGGAATAATAGCTATCATTATTGACTCGTGGTATAATCTACTATTACTACTTCACCCGACCCCAGTAAGTGGTTAGAGTGTTTCGAAGTTTAGGGATAAGTTTGAACATTTTGCTAGTAACATCATACATTTCTGATATA